GATTTAAAGAATATGTTCTTTGCTAGATCAAGCTGCAATCGAAGTTGAGCAATTATCGAGACTCATCCACTCCAAGATGCATTGTCCGTGAACAAGTCTCGAGGGGGCATTTGTAGACGCATAAAATTAATTAATTGGTTAATTAAATTAGCCAATTAAATTGTGTCTAAATTAAATTATAATTTATCCTACAAAATAAGTTATGGAGATAATTATCAATTAATTATTGGCCAATAGGATTATTTCTTCTCTTCCAAGTTATAAGAGATAAATATCAATTTAAAGAGAGCCAATCAAATCGCGCCACGTCAGCAAGTAGACTTTAAGTAGGACTCTTATTCTACCACTATAAATAGGGACCCTCTCTACACAATTCAAGACACAACTCAAGAAGAATAAAAATCGTAGGAGAAAATTCTCTCTACAACATTCAAGTCATCTTCATCAAATTCAAGGCGTTCTTCATCAAATCGAGGGCGTTCTTCAACAAATCAAGATCGAAGGAAGATTGAAGGGCCAAATCCATCAAGATCTTCTTCAAATTGAGGGCGTTCTTCAACAAATCAAGATTGAAGGAAGATTGAAGGGCCAAATCCATCAAGAACTCCAAGATCTTCAAGTCAAAACCCGTCAAAGTTCTGCGTTCGATCCGAGATTCAAGTCGCAAGACCCTCGGAAAACGTTATTCAAGTTCAAAATCAAATCCGGAGAAGATCAAGTCAACGACCCGACTCCGAAATTCAAAGTCAACATATATTGTTCTTGAGAGAAGAATCAGAGGATTAAATTAGAGTTTGTAACCCGCAATATTTATTTTTAATTCAATAAAATTATAGGTCTACATGTCCATATCAAATGAAGTACTCCTTGACACGAGTTTAAAAGGTCTACATGTCCAAATCAAATCAAATACTCCTTGCCTCTCATCTCTTCTCTCTCTCGGAGATCCTCGAAGTGTTGCAGTGATTGCTCTACGTTCGCAATGAAGTCTGCTACTTCGGATTCATCAAGTGTGGGCTTAGTTACAAGGAGTATGGCTAAGAAGCTGCAAGCATCCTCCGAGACTAGCTCGACGCCCCAAACCATTCAGAAAGGCTTACCACCTCTTGTCAATACAAGCGCAGACGTGGATGGTTCAAAATGAGAGATTTCACAGCCCACGCCTCGTTCAACATCAAGCTACTCAGATGTGGCATCCGTCATGACAACAAATGCTACAACCATGGAAGAGCAAATTGCAAGTTTAACAAAGGCCATTGAGGGACTCGCAAAGCATGTTCAACAACGAGATTCTCAAATTGCCAAGTTGATCAACAAGATGGACAAAGCCGATGCTAGTCAAGCTGTGGAGAATCAGATAGAGGCTCAAGACGAAGTCGAGACATTCACAAAGCAACAACAAGTTGAAAA